TTCTGGTATACGAAACCCGGGATTGATGAACCTATAGGGACAGCAAGGAGAATAAGGGTTTCGGGGTGGGGGTGAGGAGGTGTTAAAGGGAGACGATGTCAAGGAGTCCAGGAAGGAAAAGAATGTTTGGAAACTGATCGTGGTAGCAATTGTACAATACTGCTTAATGTGATTGAGCAATGGAATGATATGATAGATGAATTAACTCCAAATTCATAAATACTTAAAAAAAGAAAAAGAAGTGATTCTACCTCAAGTTAGGATACACCACTAGGAGAATTCCGAGTGATAATACTTTTTAGGAAAATATTTTAGAATATATATGAAGCATGGTAACGATGCTTAACACACAGACTTTTTTTCAACCAGTATTAAAAAAACCCAACCAAACCAAACCTGTTGCTGTCAAGTCGATTCTGATTCATAGTCAGAGTAATACTTGACAGTGGGGCTCCCAAGGCTGAATTTTCACATCAGCAGACTGCCATCTCTTTCTCCCATGGAACGGCTGGAGGGGTCAAACTGGTGGGAGGCGCCTTTAACCACTGTACCACCAGGGATCGCCTAGCAAATATTACTGGGTACCAATTATATGGCAGGTACTGTCATTTTACTTTTGGAAATCTATATTAAGGAAATAATTAAAAAGCCAGAAAAAGCTTCTATTATTATTATTTAGAACAAAAGAAACTGGCAACAACATTAATGTGTAGTAGTGATGAGAGTTCAGGTCCTCAGAGGTGACTCAGTAGGCACATATCTACATGAGCACTTGGGAAAATACATAGGAGAAAAAGGGAAATCTTTGGGAACAAAGCTCAAAGGGGAAGATGGAGCTAACACGTACCTTCTTCATTATTAGAAGTACCCTTGGTATTTTGTTTTGCCTCACTTGAGCTGATCTGGAGATTTTGCTCAGAATTCTATAAAAACAGAATATTTAATTAGAAGATATGTAAAATTCACAATACATACATTTTATTTAAATTAATATTTGAAATTCATGATATATGCAGACTTAAAACATTTTAAATGAAATAGCTATATGCATGTGCTATTATTATTCACATAATTTGTATATTTTCTCTTTTCTATTTTTTTGTTTTTAAGTATAGATCAATATTTATTGGAATAAGGCCTTTCTATGATACCTGAATATGTTAATGTTTTATTTCAAAATTTTAATAAAAATTTAATTTAAAACTTTTATATTATTTTAATAAATATTTTATGAAAGGTTGGGTGTTCTAGATATTTAGAAGTGAGAGAGTAAGTTGGGTAACAATCAAAAGTTAAAGGAAAGGTTAAAAACCTAACTTAAAGTTTTAACTTACTTGGTTTTAATTATAGAGATAAATTGCACGTGCCAGGCATTATGGCTGTGGTAGTTATATAATCTGATATCAACTTGAGACTATTAAGAGTGAAGGGGTGGAGTTTAGCCTGTCAATCAGGTCGCAGCTTTATGACCTCATTTGGAAGCATTACGGTGAAAAAGAGCTTGCTGGAGACAGGACACACTCTCCCTGCGAGACATTCCTGTTGACAAGCCACATGGAGCTACACTGATAGAGCCAGAGCCCTGGAGCTGGCGAAGCCATGTGGAGACCCACACCAGCGCTGAGATGTTTCCATTGCCACTGGATCCACAAGACTTTCCACCTACAGGCCTGTGATCTTCCTGCATTCTGCATCATTATATGTGTTGCATGAGTCTGAAGAGGAATTAACAGACT